AATGGAAATTAACAAAATTTTCCCAAAAATAATATTTCCATTTTGAAAAGAATCTTTTCTCATTTCTATCTTGTTTTGTAAGGTTCTCATTCATTAATAAATACTTTCTATTAATAGACCATAAAATGTGATCAGTTCATATAATTTTCAAATTAGCTCTTACCCAATCTAAATTCTTTTCATCTAAATTGATATCTCTAATTCTTCCACTCACCTATTTCTTAATGTGTTTTTTTATCTACATAATCTTCCCCTGCTCCATTTTATCTTCCATACATATTTATTCAATTTGCGAGGAGTGAAATATTTCAAGCTTAGAAATAATTCTAATGGGCTGTGGGTTTTGAAGGATGGAATGATTGTCTTCTTTAATCTTAGATCTAATGAATTTAGTAAAATTCAAATTTTCTCCTCCAAAATTATCTCTATATTCATATTCATTATTTTCGTTTCTCCTCATTAGTTGAATCAACTCTTTTTCTAACTTTTCGTTTCTCAACTCATCAAATTCTTCATCTTCCCAATAGCTATCTTTTAATTTCGGTATATGATATACATCATCATCCTCACTATCAACATCCATGGCTGCAGAATTATGATTAGATTTATTAATTTCGTTTCCTACATCTCCCAAATCAACTAATTTTTCCTCACCTGAAATATGTTTTTCTTCATTTATGTCCTTACTCCCTTCTACTAAAATTTAGATGATTTTCCCATGATCAGCTACTATTTCTTCATCTAAGGGCTCTTTCTCCTCATCATCCTCACTATATTCATTCATCAATTGTGAGCAATAAATGATTTTATTCAAATTTTCTGCTACTATATTTTCGACTTTAATATTCTCATTTACTTCTAATGGATCATCGATTTCTTTTAATAATTGGAAATAAGGATCAGGTAAAATATTCTCACTCAATGTATTCACTGTCCTAACATTTTCATTTCATGGGTTTTTTCCTAGATTCATACTACTAGACTCCCCTTGCTGAAATTCGATTGTTGGGTGGTTCCCTAGATTTTCTATGGGCTGACTAGGTAGCTATCCCTCTTCTCTCTTATTCCCAAGAGCCTCTATAATTTGTTTATGGTGCAACATCATTTGATTCATAGTTTGTTGCATCATTTGATTCATAGTTTGTTGTATCATTTGGCTCATTTGCTACATCATTTTCATAGTATTAGGTTGGGTTTGAGAGGCCTGATTTTTCTGAAATCTATTTTCTTGTTTTGGACGAAATTTAGAGTTTGAATTAGGTCTAAATGCTTCTGAATTTTGAATATTATTTGGGTCTCTCCATGAAAAATTATTCCTCCAATTAGGATTATAAGAATTTGAAAAAGGTTCCCTATTTCTATTAAAACCGTGAGCTACTTACACTTGTTCTTGCATAGGGTGAAATAATTGATCTAAATTATAGCATTGAAATTCAGAATAATAATTTTCACCATACATAAGACATGTACTATTTGAATTAAATTGAGGGTTAAGAGGCTTTCTAATATTGTCAATAAGTAAATCAAGTTTTTCTAATCTTTGATTAATCTGATTAACCTCATTTTTAAATTTAGAATCATCATCATGATGCAATTCATAAATTCCTCTTTTCTTATCCCTGTCATATAATTCAAAAGAGGTTTGATCTCTAAAATTTTCACTTAAGTTCTTATAAAGACTGTAAATCTCATCAGGGGTTTTCTCCATAAAAGCTCCTCCACATATAGAATCAACCATATTTCTATGTTGTTCTAATAATTCATCATAAAAAATTCTATTGAGCTGCCACTTGGGTATAGCATGATGATGACACTTTCTAAGTAAATCTTTGAATTTTTCTTATGCCTCATGCAAAGTTTCTCCTGATCTTTGAAAAAAACTCCATATATGTTTTCTCATATTTTGAGTTTTCCTTAAGGGATAAATTTTTTGAAGAAAGGCTTGTTCTATGTCTTTCCAGCTAGTTAATTCTCTATCTAATGTGGATAGCCAATGACTAGCTTTGTCCCTAAGTGTATGAAGAAATAATTTCATTTTAATAATTTTCGGTATAATTTAAGGGAGATTAACTAAATCACAAATCATATGAAATTTTTCTAAGTGATGATGATCTTCCTCTAAAGGTAATCCATGAAAATTAGGGAGCATTTGAAAATTTTCTAGATTTATTTCGAATTTAACAGTGAGTGCTAATGAGACTCTAATATTGGATGCTATTTGAAATGAATTAGGGATATAATAATTTTTCATGGCCATAGGATTGTTCTCAGTTTGACCTGTACTTCCTTCAGAATCTATCAAAATTAATTTTTTCTTTCGAATTTTTAGTTTTGAATGAAATAATGAAAGGATTTTCTAGCCTTCGATGCAAGGATCTTCCACCATGCATAAAAAAATCAATAAATTCGAGGGAAAAAAGTTTAGTAATTGTTACCCTCCTTCAGTATGCTCCAGTCCTTGCCTTGCTTCTTTTCGTTTCTTTTTTCTAAAAAAAAAATTCAGCAAGAAAAAATAAAACAAGAGTTAATTTTTTTTTTGTGTACTCTAAGAGAAAAATAGAACGGCTAAGTAATTGTCTTTGGCCAGTTGACTTTCGTTAAGATTTGCTCATCAGAGCGGAAAATGCTTGTTAAAAAATGTGGTTATGAAAGATAAATGCTAGGTTTTGAATTTGACTGACGTAAAATAAGTCAACGCATCAGCGATCTACGTTTCGCCAACCACTTTTTCAAATATTCTATGATAAGCAACATGTCGACGAGACTGTCTCTTTCCGTGATGAGGCCCCAGTCCAATCCCAGACCGTTGGACGGAAACGGGTGACACCACGCCATCCCACGTCAACACGAGATGGACGCCGGCCTTCGGAATCAATTTACAAACTGTTGACTTATGCGCGACGACCGGGCCTCACTCTACGCAGATCATGACTCAACAAAGGCGAATGCATGTCCATCTAAATCCTCACACGCGTCCAAGTTATTAACGTGACCCTCTTGAAGAGTGGTTGGTGGAGGAGGAACCTGAAGAAGTCATCCCATATATATATGTGTATATATATAGGTACGGTGCTTGCACTCTCTGTCTTGACAGCGTGGGTCGAGATACCGGGTTGAATCAGAAATGGCCCACTGTCTAGGGTCATCTCCCTCGGCCAATTGTATGGTCAAAGATACCGGGTTTCGCATCTATAAAATATCAACCTCCAGCTGTCTACGCCGTCCATTTCTAAGAGCAGGAAGACAACCTGCGGGAGATCCCATGGCCCTCCTTCCTAACCCGTCGCTCCGTATTTTTGCCTCCCAATGGCTGCCGAGTCGTTGAGCTTCACTACCCGTCGGAGGGAGGCGGTGCTGGTCGCCCCGGCCGAGCCCACTCCCCAAGTGTTCAAGGAGCTTGCGGACGTCGATTTCCAGGGGGCCGCGCGAATCCTGATCAGTGGAATTTGGTTTTACCGAGGCAAGACGGGGATGAGCCGACCCGGCGAGGGTCCTCAAGGAGGCCATCTTCAGCAGTCCGAGGTCGACACCATAGGCTGGATCCACTGTGACGCATTCCATCAACAATTATTCGTTCACCAAAAAAACTAGTTCGAGAGGGAGATATTTAACTCGAATTAAGCCAAACATTCCTGCGTTTATGCCGAAAATCTCCAAACTCCAGAGAATAAACGCGTATAACGCTGCCGTCGAACATATTACTCTGACGGCGGTCTGTCCCATCAGATATAAAAGAGAAGGTGGTGCAAGAGCTTAAGATGCACACGATGCCTCAGATAAATCTTAATATTAAAACCACGCGCATTAATTCAATGGAAGACCTGGTTTACACCTAAATAGTCGTTGTCGAAGTACGTTGGTGGTGCCGTGCTTGAGAAGGCTTAGGGGCAGAGAGAGAAAGATAGATACAGAGAGAGAGGAATGAGAAGAATTGCACTTAGGTACTAATCTTTTGCCTGTCTCAAGTAGGCCTTACTTCGGAACCAAAATGTTGATTTGGCAGCTATTTCGAGTCCACCATCAATATCCCGGTCTCAACGTTGCGTTACATCGAACTCTCGCCGTTCCTCTATTCCCATTTCTTTCTCTCACGCATCAGTAGCTCAATATTTATGTGTATGTGTATAGAAAAGGACCTCATGTAAGGGGTTGCAAATCTCTCACATCCACTCTACAGTAGATTTAAAGCAACGATTGATCGATTGAGAAAAAGAGAGAGATTAGCTGTAACCCATGCAAAGGACAGTTCTCACATCGTATCTTAATACAAATACAGCCAAATTATTGTGCTCAGCGAGTTACACTTTAGTTCAGACTTGTTCATCAGAGCGGAATATGTTCATTAAAAACTTTGGTTATGAAAAAAAATGACAAGTTTTGAATTTGACCGACGTAAAATAAATCAGCGCCTCCGCAACCTACTTTTCACCACCAACTTTTTCAAATATTCTATGACAAGGCCGCAATCCAATCGCAGACTTTGGATAATTGGAGGGCACCATAAACCACCCGCATACGTCAACACGCGACGGATACGAACGTTCAGAATCGATTGTCAAACAATTGACTTTAGACCGACTACCGGGCCTCACTCTACGCCCATCATGACGGGACTAAAGTCGTATACATGTCCATTTAAATCCTCACACGTGTCCAAGTTATGAGATGACCCACATCCCACGCAAAGAGGTGAGGTCGGACGACACTGAAGGAGGAACTTGTGGGAATAAGATATCTATATATATATATACGTATGCTGCACCCTGTCTCGATGTTTGCAGATAGTATGGACCGAGCCAACGATTTGAATCAGAGTTGGTCCACTGTGTACATGTCGCTGGCTTGATATATCACACTGGGTCAAAGATACCGGATTTCGCATCTATAAAAGTTCAACATCCAGCCCTCTACGCCTTCCAGATTCCTGAGAGCAAGAAGACGACCTACGGGAGATCATTGCCCGCCTTCCTACCCCTTCGCCCCGTATTTTTTGTCTCCCAATGGCTGCCGAGTGGTTGAGCTTCACTGTTCGCCGGAGGGAGGCGGTGCTCGTCGCCCCCGCCGAGCCCACTCCACACGAGTTCAAGGAGCTTGCGGACGTCGATTTCCAGGGTACGACGCGACTGCAGATTAGTGGAATCTGGTTTTACCGAGGCAATATGGGAATGGGTGTGGGGGCCGACCCGGCGAGGGTCATCAAGGAGGCCCTCTCCAAGGCGCTGGTCTTCTACTATCCCTTCGCTGGTCGCATCCGCGGAGGGGTCGATGGGAGGAGGCCGGTGGTGGAGTGCACCGGCGAGGGTGTCCTCCTCGCGGAGGCCGACGCCGACATCCGACTGGACCAGTTCGGCGACGCCCTGCTGCCACCGATACCGTGTTCTGAACAGCTCCTCCAGAACGTCGATGGATCTGAGGGCCTCTATGACACCCCTCTCTTGCTTATCCAGGTGAGGATCTGCCACGGAAATTGAGCTCACCCTCTGCATCCCACATGCTATGACACAGCAGTTAACCCATGGCACACGGAAGCGATCAGCCGAGGAAGTCAGGACCAAATCAAAGAACCTATTTTCGATGTGGATGGCCGTTCTGATCAGTCAAGTTCCATTTTTGTCGTCTCCGACACCGGCGGTAAAGCTGCGGTACAGAGAGAGAGTGATGGAGGACAGAAAAGGCAGTGGAACGGAAGAATGAACAGCCAAAGTCAAGTCTTGATAAAATAACATATCTGTATTGTTGTGCAGGTGACAAGGCTTCGGTGCGGGGGTTTCGCCATGGGTGTCCGGCTCAACCACATCCTTTCAGACGCCGCGGGACTCCTCCAGCTGCTGAAGGCCACGGCGGAGCTCGCGAGGGGTGCCCCTCGCCCCACGTTGCTGCCCGTGTGGCAGCGCTACCTGCTCCAGGCCCGGGACCCCCCGCAGGTGTCCTACGCCCATCGCGAGTACGACGAGGAGGAACCGGTCAAGTTCGAGGATTCAGTGCTCCGGTCCTTCTTCCTCCGTCGGGAGGACCTCCGTGCCCTGAAGAGTCGGCTTCCGGGGGATATGCAGAAGATCACTTCCTTTGACCTGCTCACCGCCTGCGTCTGGCGGTGCCGCATCGCCGCCCTCCGCCTCGATCCGGCACAACGAGTGCGGGCCATGGCCATCGTCACGGGGCGCGGCAGGTGTTCCGCCGTCGTCCCCCCGGGATACTACGGGAACTCGTTTGCTCATCCCGTCGCACTGTCCACCGCCGGCGAACTCTGCGGGAACCCGTTGGCCTACGCCGTCCAACTGATAAGTAAGGCGAAATCGGAGATGACCACGGAGTACCTGCGGTCGACGGCCGATCTGATTGCGGTCAAGGGGTCGGCGACGTACACTTCGTCGATAGGGTCAATGATCGTATCGGATCTGAGGCAGCTGGGCCTCAGGGAACTGAACTTCGGGTGGGGCGACGCTGTTCTCAGTACCCCGATGCACGCCGATGAGGTTGCCCACTTCTATTTTCATTACACCAACACCAAAGGCGAGGAGGGAGTAGTCGTGATGCTTCGGCTCCCGGCGCCCGCAATGGAAAGATTTGCCGAAGAGATGGGAACCATGATGAAGGATTGCTGAGAGAAATTCTCCGAAGCTTAGCAGAGGGAGGAGACGATAGATATCTTTGATGTTTACGGTCTCAACGCTTGGATGAGACGGATAGTGTCATAGAATACTTTCGAAAAAATGATACAGTGTTTTGACAAATGTTTAACAACCTTTGTAAAATGAATGTTTTCCTAGGATGAATATTCATAGCCACTATGCTCCAATCTTGAATATCTGTTCCTTGATTAAATTGGTCTTTTATCTTCCTGATCGTCGGATTCTTCTGAGAAAGCGAATGGACAGCTCCTGATCGAGATTGTGAGTCTGGCTTTTGTTTTTAGCACTCTGTGTTGTCGCTATTAAGGGGGATCAACTGTGACACATTGAATAATGTAAGAATAAATTTGGATATTTCACCACGTCACATCATCGAACAGTTCGGCGTTAGACGGACACCAGATAGCTCGTAGGAGAGTTAGACATTTAACGTGAATGTGAATTAGCCACGACATTCGTGAATTAGCCACGAAATTCCTGCGTCCCATTTAATGCGGAGAGGATAAATGGAGTGTAAGGGAGAAACGGTCAGTCGGAAGACCGATTCTCACAGACTCAACGGCCCATTTATGGGCTGAGCAGCCGACGAAGCGGAACAGTACAGGCAGAAGAAATGGAAACCGTTCGGCATGTTTCCCGAGGTTTGCGAGGGAGGTTTTGTTGAGCATTGCTTCCATGATGGAATGTCAAGCTATTATTATTGCAATAGAAACTCATGAGGGAGGACACCATTACCACATAGTGGCTAAAACAAAAAGAGCTTCCAAGAACAACGCCCTCCGGAAAAGTAGAGACATGCCATCAGAATTTGAGGGAAGACAATGTAATATCAAATTCCTTAAGGGATGGGGCGGGGAACAAACTGATATCAGAGCTAGATTCTAGCATCAGTTTTTGTGTTCATTGTTGATGGCAGTCAAGAATATATCATCAATGAAGTTCGACATAAAAGTGTTCGATGGGAAGATGAAAGATTTAAACATTTGGTGACTTAAGATGAAGTCATTGTTGATACATCAAGGCTTAAGCAAGGTATTGATGGGTAAAGAAAGCTTACCAACTGAGTGGAAAGACGATGAAAAAGAAAAGCACTTGGTAGATGATGTGTTACGAGAAGTATTAGATGAGAATACTTTGGAGAAGCTTTGGGCTAAATTTGAGAAAAAGTTTATGACAACATCACTCACAAGTCAGTTATATTTGAAACATAAGTTATATACTTTACGTTTGAGAGAATGTACGCCTATTATTGATTATTTAAATAAGTTTACAAAGATTGTTATAGATCTGAAGAACATTGATGTTAGAATAGAAGATGAACATGAGGATTTATGGCTTGATAGTTCAAGGAAGAACAAAAAAGGAGCATGGTCAAAGGAGCAGATCAAGATCAAAATCTAAATCAACATTTTTTTTTCGTTATTATGAGTATAATCAGAAAGGGCACATCAAGAAGAATTGTCCAAAGTTAAAGAGAAAAGGGAAGAAAGAGTCTTTTGATATAGTGAACATCATTCAAGAGGAGACTGACCTTGGTGAAACTATTTTGTTAGTTTTTACTAGATCTTTTAATGATGATTGGATTCTTGATACAAGATGTACCTATCATATGTGTCCTTACAAGGACTGATTTTCTACTTACACACCAGTAAGTAGTGATATTGTGGCATTGTGTGATGACATCACTATTGATGTTGCAGGAATAGGTACAGTACGGATCAAGATGTACGATAGTGACAACATGACTTTGGAAATGAGATAATTGAAGAAGAGTTTTATCTCTTTAGGTACTTAGATAAGCAAGGATATAAATATTCTTTAGAGAATGATATTCTACGGGTTTTTAGACGTGCTCTGATTCTAATGAAGGCAAAGATGATTGGAACTCTATCATCTATTTGGACGTACTGTTATAGATAGTGTGAATGCGACTGAAGACTTAGATATTTCTACTCAGTTATGGCACATGAGGTTGGGTCATATGAGTGAGCAAGATATGATAGAGTTAAGTAGGCGTGGTTTACTTGTAGGTCAAAAGACTAGTAAACTAGACTTCTATGAGCACTATGTGTTTGGGAAACAATGTAGAGTGAGGTTTAGTACTATAGTCCATCGGACCAAGGGTACAATGGATTACATCCACTGATCTTCGGGGTCCTAGTCTAGTTATCTTGAAAGGCGGTGCAAGTTATTTGTTGATCTTTATTGATGACTTTACCAAGAAAATATGTGTTTACTTTCTCAAAAAAAAAGAGAGGTGTTTATCATATTCAAACAATGAAAGGCGTTGATTGAATGGTAGACTGGAAAGTAGATTAAGTGCCTTGGTACTAACAATAGTATGTAATTTTGCTCGAATGATTTTAAAGACTTTTGTAGGAACAAAGGTATCATTCGGCATTGCACTGTAGTGGAAACACTACAACAAAATAAAGTTATAGAATGGATGGACATGACACTCTTGGAGTGATAAGTCTTTATTATCATGAGTTAATAATTAGTAAATAATATAGTTTTAGCCTTAACTCATGATAAATAGACTTATATTTATGTTAAATTGTGAAAAGTGATTTTTAATTGATTAACGTGAATTTTTGGCTAATTATGTGATTTTTTATGAATTTATATGATTTTTATAGTCCTATTTTTGAGATAAATGAATAAAAAGAAATAAAAATAAAAATATAGTAAAAGTGGGGGACCTGTTGGCCAGCCAAGCCCGCAAGCGGTCGGAAGCCCAATCAAGGGGAGCCACGAGCAAGGGCTCGAGTGGCTAGGACTGATGGGGGCACGTGTGTGCCACTCTCTTTCTACGTCACCAATAGTCAATCAGTTGTGGGGCAGGGGACTCATTGCTTGCAAATATGATATTACTATATATTCGTTCAAAACTTTGCCACACAAGCAATGTGGGACTAAACCCATGTCACACCTTCCCTCGAAAGGCTTCGAAGATTTTAATACCTAAACTACCCCATAGTTATAACAGAAATATACCATGATGACGTCACTTGATAAGGATATTAGAATACTTATTTCAATCACTCTCATGTAGGCAGGCAACCGGCGCAAGTTCGAATCATCTCAAAACCAAAACTCATATTTTTATCTGATTATCATGACTTTCTTACAGATCACCGGTGAAGGATTAAGCTGTTAGAATTGCTAGATCATCGGTGAAAATCTCGTCAATGTGATTTGCGAAGCATTGTTACTAAAATTACTAAACGATTCGTGATTAAAGGATCGCGAATCCACTGAGTAAATCATCTCCGATTGATCGACGAACAAGCCATTATTAGAAAGAGGACGATTCATTAAGAGACGAGTCGCCACCTCCTAAGAGTGTACCGGATGCGATGAAGAGCCTCCTCTTGCTGTGCGGACCTGAGGATACAGCTCCCTAACATGTGCCCCACCTCCATGCAGCTACTCTTCATTGGGTGATAGCTATTGAAGAGCTGCAAAGTCGCAGTTTTTCTGCTCTGTTGGGTGATACCTACTAGAGACAATTCGACAACTCATTTTATTAATCTCTTGACTTCACAAGGAAATCTAGAGATTACCCATGCTGTCCTTGTTTAAGGAGAGCCTTCGAGGCTATAGACATTACATGACGATCCTCCCAAATGCTTAGGATTTTGGTACATCATTAACGCATCGTTGCCGCGACGCCGGAACTCTGTTTCTTGTTTTCAACTTAATTTTTACTTCATTTAATGATAATTTGTGTGATTTAAATTTATCAACTATATTTCATTCCATTATGATTCTTCGAGTTTTAATAGATCTTAATTTGATCAATTAAATCATTTGTAATCGCTTACGTAAGAATCACTAGGCGGAACTCTACTTTCGTCTAAATCGGGTTTGTTGGGTGCTGACATCATCCTGATGTCCGCACCCTTATTTACCTTTTTTGTGAACTTTAAATATATTTTATTTTCATTTCTTAGTATAAAAATCATAAAAAATTATATTCTTTGAGAAAACTTCTGAAAACTTATTCGATATTTTATTACATCTCTATAATCGACCTAAAAAATTACCACTATTTTTGAAAGTTTTATTGAATTATAATTGATATATTTATTTAAAAATACTTCTAAACATCCAAAAATTAGTATTTTCTAGTTTTATAAATTTTAAATTTACGTGATTTACTATACAACAACTAAGTCACGTTAAATTTTGGTGTAGTTGCCAGGGATGTATTACATAATATTTAGTATTTTTCTATTTTTCTCTAAGAGTACACAAAATAATTAACTCTTGTTTTATTTTCTTCTTGTCGAAAAATTAAAAAAAAAAAGAATGAAGAGAAGCAAGGTAAGGACTGAAACATACTAAAGGAGAGTAACAATTAGTAAACTTTTCTTTGAATTTATTAATTTGTATACATGATAGAAGATCCTTGCATCCAAGTCTAAAAATTTAGTTAATCTCTCTCAAGTTACATCGGAAATTATTAAGATGAAATTATTTCCTCATATACTTAGGGACAAAGCTATTCATTAACTATCCACATTAGATAGAGAATTAACTAGTTGAAAAGACATAGAATAGGCCTTTCTTCGAAAATTTTATCCCTTAAAAAATACTCAAAAAAATGAGAAAATATATGAGTTTTTCCAAAGATTACGAGAAATATTGCATAAGACATGAGAAAAATTCAAAGATTTATTTAGAAAGTGTCTTGATCATGCTATACTCAAGTAGCAGCTCAATAGAATTTTTTATGATGAATTATTAAAACAACATAGAAATATGATTGATTCTATATGTGGAGGAACTTTTATAGAGAAAACTCTTGATGAGATTTACAATCTTTATAAGAATTTAAGTAAAAATTCTAGAGATCAAGCCTCTTTTGAATTATATGATAGGGATAAGAAGAGAGAAATTTATTAATTACATCATCAAAATGATTCTAATTTACGAAATGAGGTTAATCAGATTAATCAAAGATTAAAAAAACTTGATTTACTTATTTAAAATATTAGAAAGCCTCTTAATCCTCAATTTAATTCAAATAATACCTATCATATGTATGGTGAAAATAATTATTCTGAATTTCAATGCTATAATTTAGATCAATCATTTTACCATATGTAAGAGCAAGTATAAGTAGTTCACAGTTTTAATTAAAATATAGAGCCTTTTTCTAATTCTTATAATCCTAATTAAATGAATAATTTATAGAGAGACCCAAATAATATTTAAAATCCAGAAGCACTTAGACCTAATTCAAGCTCTAAATTTCGTTCAAAATAGGAAAATAGATTTCAGAAAAATCAGCCCTCTCAAACCCAGTGTGATGCTATGGAAATCATATAGCAAATGAGCCAAATAATGTAACAAACTATGAATCAAATGATGTTACAGTAGAAACAAATTATAGAGGCCCTTAGTAATAAGAGAGAAGAGGGATGATAAGTCTTTATTATCATGAGTTAATAATTAGTAAATAATATAGTTTTAGCCTTAACTTGTGATAAATAGACTTATATTTGTGTTAAAGTGTGAAAAGTGATTTTCAGTTCTTTAACGTGAATTGTTGGGTAATTATGTGATTTTATATGATTTTATATAATTTTTACAGTCTTACTTTTGAGATAAATGAAGGAAAAGAAATTAAAATAAAAATAGCAATATGGGGGGAACCGCCGGCCAGTCGGGCCCGCGAGAGGGTCGGAAGCACAGTCGGGAAGTAGCTGCGAGCAAGGGCTCAAGCAGCAATGACCGATAGGCGCACGTGTGCGCCACTCCCCTTCCACGTCACCGGTGGCCAGCCAGCTGTGAGGCAAGGAGTGGTCGTACACGTGTGAGAAAGGGACTTGCTTTCAAGCTTTAACATTACTATATATGTGCCCGAAAATCTGGTGCACAACCGATGTGGGACTAAACTCGCGTCACCTTCCCCAGAAAGGGGCGAGCAACTAATGCGGGTTCGAATCCTCATAGAGCCAAAATTCATATTTTTTATGTGATTATCGCGACTTTCCTATAGATCGCCGATGAAGGATTAAGCAACCAGAATTGCTGGATCATCGGCGAAATTCTCGTCAACACGATTCGCGGAGCATTGTTACTAAAATTGTTGAATGATTCACGATAAAAGGATTGTAAATCCATCGAGTAAAGCATCTCTGATTGACCGACGAACAAGTCGTCGTCAGGAAGAGGACGATCCACCGAGAGACGAGTCACCACCTCCTGAGAGCGTACCAGATGCGATGAAGAGCCTCCTCTTGCTGCGCGGACCTGAGGATGAAGCTCTCTAACACGCGCCCCACCTCCATCCAGCTCCTCTCCGTCGGGTGACAGTTGCCGGAGAGCCACAAAGTCGCTGTTTTTCCACCCTGCCAGGTGACAGCTGCCGGAGATGATTCGACGACCCATTTCATTGATCTCTAGACTTCGCAAGGAGATCTAGAGATTGCCCATATCGTCCTTGTCCAAGGAGAGCCTTCGAGGCCGTGGACACTGCACGACTATCCTCTCGAACGCTCAGGATTCTAGTGCATCGCTGACGCATCACCGCCGTGATGCTGGAACTCTATTTTCCTGATTTCAACTTACTTTATGCTTCATTTAGTGATAATTTGTGTGATTTTAATTTACCAAAATATACTTCGTTCACTTACGATTCTTTCGGCTTTTACAAATCTTAATTTGATCAATTAAATCATCTATAATCGCTTACGTAAGAATCGCCGGGCGGAACTTTGTTTTCGCTCGATTCGCGTTCGCCAGACGCTGATGTCATCCTAATGTATGTAGCCTTATTTCCTTTTTCCATGAATTTTAAATATATTTCCTTTCATTTCTTAGTATAAAATTCATAGAAAATAGTATTGTTTGAGAAAAATTCTGAATAATTATCAGATATTATATTACATCTCTGTGATCGACCTAGAAAATTATCGCTATTTTTTGGAAGTTTTATTAAATTATAATTGATATATTTTTTCAGAAATTCTTCTAAATATCCAAAAATTCGTATTTTCTAGTTTTATAAATTTTAGATTTGCGTGATTTAATATACAACAACTAAGTCACATCAAGGGACAACTATCTAGTCAGCCCATAAAAAATCTAGGAAATCACTCAACAATATGATTTTAATAAGGGGAGTCTAGTAGCATGAATTTAGGAAAAAACCTACAAAATGAAAATGTTAGGATAGTGAATGCATTAAGGAGTGGGAAGATTTTACTTAATCCTTATCTTCAAACATTAGAAGAAAAGGAAAACATGAACAGTCTAAAACAAAATCAAATAGGAGTAGAAGAGAATTTTATAGATTCTACCAAGAAAATTCTTAAAGAAAGGACAACCATTTCATTTTTTAAAGCTTTAGAGCCTAGACAAAGAAAGAAAAAAGAACACAATGAAGAAATAAAGAAAATTTACAAGATGTGCAAATTAATCTTCCTTTGCTCACTGCCATTGAACATATTCCTAAATATATTAGAGTTTTGAAAGAAATGTATATACCAAAAAGGGCACCTAGAGTAGAAAAATTATCTATGCATACTAATGCTTTATTATTAAATCAATTACCATATAAATTGAGAGATACTAATGCCCCTTTAATTTCGTGTGATATTAGTGGATTCATTTTTCAGAATGCATTACTTGACACCAGTGCTAGTATTAATTTATTACATGCAATTATTTGTGATAAATTTAATATTGCTGATCTTAAATCGTTTATTGTTACCTTAAAATTTATTGATAGATCCATAAAACATCCTAAAAGTATTTTAGAAAATGTGATAGTGACAGTTAAAGGGTGTAAATTTCTAATTGATTTAGTGTTGGAAATAGATTTTAATAGATAGTTTTAGGATACACCAATCATCCTAAGAAGACTATTTTTGCATATACCAAAGATGAATATTGATTTTCCCACATATATTACGAAAATTTCATGTGGAGATCAATGAGTAGAAATTAAAATTTTTGAGGTATCAAATGATCTTAAGAAATTCCAAGTGTATGATTGTCATACCATAGATCTTCTAGATGATTTTGATGCTCCAAATGTTATTGATGACTATGTGCTGGAAGAATTAGAGGAAATAGAGAATATAAATTTGAGAGAAAAGAAAGAAGAATATCATCTAAATTTAGAGTTAAAACCTCTTCCCTCTTCCCTCCAGTTTAAAATATATGTTTTTGGAGGAAAATAATTCATTCCCTCTTCCCTTTATGTAATGCTCCAGCCACATTTCAAAGATGTATGTTGTCTATTTTTTCTAATATGACTGGAATATATATGAATTTTTTTATGAATGATCTTTTTGTTTTTGGTGAATCATTTGATGAATGCTTAAATCATTTACAACATGTACTTGAAAAATGTATAGAAAAAAAATTAATTTTGAGTTAGGATAAATCACATTTTATGGTTTGAGAGGGAGTTGTGTTGGGTCATATTTTGAGTGAAAGGGGTTTAGAGGTGGATAGAGCAAAAATTGATATTATATCTAAAATAAATCCTTCGAATTCAATAAAACAGATTAGATCTTTCTTGGGTCATGCAGCTTATTATAGAAAATTTATTCAAGATTTTTCAAAAATTTCTAAACCTCTCACCATGTTATTATCTAAAGATGTGCCTTTTAATTTTGATGAGAAATGTTTTGAGTCTTTTTTTGAAATAAAAAAATTACTTACCGAGGCACCTATTTTACAAGCTCCTCATTAGTCCCTTCTTTTTGAAATAATATGTGATGTATTGAATTATGTAGTGGGAGCCATTCTAGGACAAATAAAAGAGTCAAAACTCATAAAAATTTCATATGCTAGTAAAACTATATCTGATGCTTAGTTAAATTATACCACGACTGAAAAAGAGTTGTTAGCTATAGTATTTTCATTAGAAAGGTTTATATCATATATTTTCAGAGCTAAAATTATTATTTATATTAATCATGCGGTATTAAAATATTTGTTAAATAAGAAAGATGTAAAGCCACATTTATTAAGATGTATTTTATTGTTGCTGGAATTTGACTTAGAAATAAAAGATAAAAAAGGTTTCAAGAATGTTGTTGCTGACCTTCTTTCTAGATTAAGTGATACAAGAATAAATGCAGCACTTTTACGAGACGCATTTTTAGATGAACAATTGATGGCAGCTCAACATCAACCATCACCATAGTATGCACATATTGTTAATTTTCTAGTTTCTAGAAAAATTCCAGAACAATAGGATAAGAACATAAAACATCATTTCTTTTTTAAGATTATAAATTATTTTTAGTATGATCTTGATTTATATTACTTGGGCAATGATCAAATTTTAGGAGATGTTCTCCTGAAGAAGAATATCATAGCATTGTTAACATGTGCCATTCATCTAATTGTGGAGGATATTTCTTTGGACTAAAAATAATTGCAATTTTTTTTTTAGTGTGGTTTTTATTGGCCTACAATCATTAGAGATTCTATAGAATTTAGTAGAACATGTATTTCATGCCAATTTATAGGTAACATTAGTAAAAAAGATGAAATGCCTTCGTAATTTTTGATGTATGGGGAATAGATTTTATGGGTCCTTTCTCATCAGCTGAAAAATATGAATATATTCTACTGGTTGATTATGTGTCTAAGTAGGTGGAAGCTATTCCTACTAGAACTAATGATCATAAAATCGTGATGAAATTTGTGTAAGAAAATAATTTTTCGAGATTTGGATGTCCAAGAGTGATTATTAGTGATGGAAGAACCCATTTTACAAATAAATAGTTCAAGGAACTGTTGAAAAAAAATGGAGTACACCATAGAGTAGCCACTCCATATCATTCCCAAACAAACGACAAGCTAAAGTAGCAAATAGGAAAATTCAGAAAATTTTGAGAAAATAGTTAGATCAGATATGAAAGATTGGCCCATAAAATTACAAGATCTATTATGGGCTTATAGAACAACTTAAAAAATTCCATAAATATGTCTCCATTTTGTCTCATTTTTAGAAAGTCATATCATCTTTCTGTGGAAATAGAGCATAAAACATTATGGGCTATAAGAAATTTATATATAGATGAAAAATCAACTAGTGGGCATAGAATTTTTTAGCTACATGAACTAGAGGAGTTGAGGAATGAAGCTTATGAAAATCATAGAATATATAAAGAAAAAACTAAAACTTTTCATGATAAATACATCAATAGAAAAAAATTGATGTTGGACAAAAAGTGTGGTTATATGATTCTAGGCTGAAATTATTCTCACAAAAATTAAAATCAAAACGAACATGGCCTTATGTGGTGGAAGAGACATGATCATGGGGCTATAATGATTAAAGATCTTAAAAGTGATCATAACTTTAAGACAAATGGACAGCGGCTTAAACATTACATAGAACATGAATGTCTTGTAGAAAAAGAAATTTTATTATTAAAAGAAATTCAAGAGTAAGATTAATGTGTCCAGCTGAAGACATTAAATTCAATGCTACATGGGAGGTAACTCATGGTCTTTTTTTCATTTTGTTTTTTTTAAGCTCTATTTTTCTTAAAATTTTGTTGTACTTTTTTCTGTATTTGTTTTTTTTTCGAAAAAGTGCAAGAGGAGAAGTGTAAGATGAAGTGAAAAATTAAAAACAAACTTGAGGTGATTTGTTTCTAAGCTTTATCATTTATGACAATATTTTTAGTGCTTAACTTTGCATATCTGCATGCTTCACTTGAAAATTATATTTTCTGTATATTCTATTTCGATTTTTTTGTGTCATTAGGGACAATGTCATTTTTAAGTTGGGGGGTGAAGTATTGATTCTTAATTTATGGTGTGTGACGATTGAAAGTATGTGTCTGTATTTTTTTCATGCTCACTTAGAACAACAACTAAAAAAAAATAATCAGAAAAACTACATCTATTTTCTGGTTTTCTATTAGGAATAATAGACTGTCAAAAATAGTAGAGAAAAAACAGCTCGAAATTTGAAATTCTAGAGACCCTTTCCTCACATTTCAATCTTTTAGATATATATTACTGAAATTTAAAATTACCACTATAAAGAGGATTGTTTTGATTTATTTTTGACAAATTTATTGTCGCTAAAAATAGAACTGAAAATAGAAAGTAGAACTGTTATAATTATCTAATTTACAAATTTCTTATATCATATTGTATGCACGAAAAATTAAATGAATGAGATTGATTGATACCAAAAGATACTAGGAAGATTATTATTGAGTTAAAAGGATGATTTAGTAGTATGAAATGTTGGAATACTCCTTATATACATGATAGGTAATATGAATTTGATTTTACAAATTTTCACTTCAAGATCTTGATGGATAGTATTTATTTGATGTGAAAATTTAATTGATCATTTGAGTTTAATAGAGATTTTTACACCCTAATTTATAACACTTGTGAGGAGAAATCACTTATTTTGAAAAAACAGAGAGAGTAATGTGAAAAATCTAGAAACAAAGAGTACAAATGGAGGGTGTGAAACATTATTTTTATTGTCAAAATTTGTATATAGGAAAAGCTACTTATCCACTATATATATATAAAAGAAAAAGTGATGGCGAGTGGGACCCGTCTCTATCAGCTCAAGAGACACCAGTAGTTCGAGTTTAGCCTGATCGACGTGCGAAGACGAAAGAGCCTGGCTTTCGCTACACGGCCTAGTCCTTCGGGATGACGACATTCCACCTCTACGACGACGACGAGCTCGAGCTCACCCCATATCTTTCTTGGTATTTTCATGTTGACTTGTTGGGCCTCCATTTGTGTGTTAGCGGGCCCAATTCTATGTGTGTGTGCTGTTGTTTGTGTCTTCCTTTCTTTAGGGTTTTATCGGGTCTCTCTTTGAGGCCCAATTAAAACCCTAAGGGGGGGGGCCTATGTGTCTTTCCTTTTGGGCCTCTTTTGGGGCTTATTTGGGTCTTCATTTTAGGCCCACTTAAGCACCGTAAGAGGGCCCTCCTCTTTCTCCTTTTAGGAGAGCTTATTGGGTCTCTCTTAAGAGGCCCAATAAGCCCCTTTGTAGCCTTTGAGGCTTATAGGCTTGAGGGCCTCAAGTGGGCCCACCTCCCCTTAGCCCACTTGTGAGCCCCCATATAAGGGGAGGTAGGACCCCCCCTCAAGAGAGCGCCGTATTTTTGAGAGAAATTATCGTTGTGAGTCATCTTCCTCGTAACCTAGAATATGGAGGGAAGGAGGGAGAGGAAGGCCGTCGATACCCTGAGGACTTCGTTCACCGTGACGCTGCTGCCGGAGAAGTTCCGCCGCCGCCTGAGACCACGGCCGCCGCCGGACATCTCCCTTGCCGCCCGTGAGATCGCCGCCGTCACCGGACGAAACGGACGCGGTTGCCGCTGCAACCGCCGCCGCCTCTGCTGGAACCCCGTCACGCCGTCGTGACGAAAGGGGCTCGCTTCGCCTCGCTACGAGCCGTCGCCGAGCACTCCGCCGGAGTCTCTCGACTCCTGGTTCGTCTGCCACCTCTTCCTCCGGAACTCCACCATAAACTCGCCGGAGCCGCCCTCCGCCGCTCCGCCCAGTCGCTGGCCGTTCGCCGACGAACGCCGACCTGCCGCCGACGTCGGAAGAGACCCTGCTGCCGTGCCGACGAGCCAGGTCCAATCCAAGCTCCGCACAGGCCCCCGCCAGAGTTTCCCGACGATCCGCCGCCGTCGCGCCGTTCCCGGCGCCGCCTAGACCAGGAGGGCTCCACCCTCCCTGGTATCGCCGGCCGGATCGTCTCCTTCCTCTGCTCCGCTTCCCGGCGCCGCCAGAGAAGGCCGACCTTTCCGGCGACGGTTGGGTCTCCGCCCAACCGCTCACGCTCGGCATTCCCGCCGAAGAGCCGCTGACGCTTGGCATTCCTGCCGAAGCGCCGCAGACGCTCGGCCTTCCCGCCGAAGCGCTGCCGCCGCGCGCGCCCCCGCGCGCCGGCTCTTGCGGCCCGCGCGCCCACCCGGCGCCACTGCCCGCGTGCCCTTCGGCCCACCAGCGGGCCCACGCCCGCTAGCGTGCCCTTTGGCCCACCTGCAGGCCCACGCCCACGTTGACTGTGCCACGCCCTAAGACGACGACTTCCGTGACTCTCGACCAAGACCGACCGTCGACGCTGAGCATCGCTCTTCACTGGACGTCTCTGCCTTTGTCAGATCTCTGCTCCGTCACGACCCGTCGGGCTATGCAGCCCTGAAGGTTAGCTCCGTACCCCTTCCTCTTAAGTTTAATTATCTCTCGAAGGGTTTTCTTAGCTCGTCTCCTCCGCCATCAGGAGAACGTAGAAAGGATAGGATGGTTATTGGATTGTGACTTCCGACACTACGCCGGATTTACCACCGTTTGTGAGCTGCAGCCCTAGGCTACCTCACGACGATTGTTCCGCCATCTGTCCGGTGGACCGAGAGGGCCTCTCACTTACCATCGTCGAGTGTTTCCCTGAGTTGTCCTGGGTTGATAACGCATATTGGTACGCCTGCCTGTGCTTAGGTTACATGGTCAGACCTAGAGTCTAGGGTCTAAACATTCTTATCAGATCGGTCCGACTACCCCATCCTGAGACTTGAGTTTCATTGATCAGGTATAGGGAGTTTTCACCCCATCCTACATCAAAAAGAAGAAATATAGAATAAAATTTAAAAATCAAGTCATGAAAAAAAGAAAATATAAGATAATTATTATTCTTGAATGAGTATTGATAATTAGAACATCCTGTAAATATATCTATGAGTGAAGAAGTGATAAAGATGTGAATAGAAGAAGTGAAGTCTAGATTTTTATTCCAAAGAGTACTTAAACATTTAAATGCTTGACATCATTCTTAAATACTTGATATAAGAATCCAAAGTGTCTAAAGAAGCATCATTTCTAATTGTATTTTTTTTATGTATTGAAATATGATGTTTGAGATTTGTGAATTTTTATGTTTATAATTCTATTCCTAAGGGACTAGCAATGATTTAAGTTGGAAGGTGTAATAAGTCTTCATTATCATGTGTTAATAATAAGTAAATAATATAGTTTTAGCCTTAACTCTTGATAAATAGACTTATATTTGTGTTAAAGTGTAAAAAGTGGTTTTCAGTTGATTAATGTGAATTTTTGGCTAATTATGTGATTTTTTAAAGAATTTATATGACTTTTATAGTCCTATTTTTGAGATAAATGAAGAAAAAAATAAAAATAAAAATATAGCAAAAGGGGGGGGACCCACCGGCCAACCGGGCCCCACAAGCGGGTCGAAAGTGTAATCAGGGGGAGCTGTGAGTAGGGGCTCGAGTGACTAAGACCAATGAGGGCATATGTGTGCCACTCCTCTTCCACATCACTAGTGGCTAGTCGGCTGTGGGGCAAGGAGTGGTCGTACACACAGGAAAAAGAGACTCATTACTTACAAATGTGATATTACTATATATTGGCCCAAAACTTTGGTGTACAAGTGATGTGGGATTAAACCCGCGTCACACCTTCCCTCAAAAGTTTTCTAAGATTTTAGTATTTAAACTACCCCTTAGTTATAATAGAGATATATTATACTTGATAAGGATATTAGAGTACTTATTTCAATCTCTCTTATGCAGGCGGGCAATCGGCGTAGGTTCGAATCCTCCCAGAGCCAAAACTCCTATTTTTATTTGATTATCGTGACTTTCTTGTAGATCACCAGTGAAGGATTAAGTTGCTAGAATCGCTAGATCATTGGTGAAAATCTTATCAATGTGATTAGCAAAGTATTGTTACTAAAATTGCTAGACGATTCGTGATTAAAGGATCATGAATCCACTGAGTAAATCATCTCCGATTGATCGATGAACAAGTCATTATTAGGAAGAAGACGATTCGCTGTGAGGTGAGTCGTCACCTCTTGAGAGTGTACCGGATGCAATGAAGAGCCTCCTCTTGCTGCGCAGACCTGAGGATAAAGCACCCCAACACGCGCCCCACCTCCATCTAGCTCATTTTCATCGGGTGGAGAGTCGCAAAATTGTTGTTTTTTCGCTCTACTGGGTGACAATCACTACAGACGATTCGACGACCCATTTTATTGATCTCTAGACTTCGCAAAGAGATCTAGAGATTACCCACGTCTTCCTTATCTAAGGAGAGCCTTCAAGACCATGGAGACTGCATGACAATTCTTCTGAACGCTCAGAATGCTGGTGCATCACCGATGCATCGCCGACGCATCGCCGCCACGATGCCAGAACTCTATTTTCTTACTTTCAACTTAATTTCTACTTCATTTAGTGATAATTTGTGTGATTTAAATTTACCAAGTTATACTTCATTCAATTACGATTCTTCTAGCTTTTACAGATCTTAATTTGATCAATTAAATCATTTGTAATCGCTTTGACTTCATTTAATCACTTACGTAAAAATCATCTGTCCGATTTGTGTTTGTCGGGTGCTGGTGTCATCCTAACATCTGCACCCATATTTTCCTTTTTCATAAATTTTAAATATATTTTATTTTTATTTTTATTTTTTAGTATAAAATTTATAAAAAATCATATTCTTTGAAGAAAATTCTAAAAAATTAAGTCCTTGTGATCAACCTAAAAAATTACCACTATTTTTGAAAGTTTTATTGAATTATACTTGATATATTTATTCAGAAATACTTCTAAATATCTAAAAATTGATATTTTCTCCTTTTATAAATTTTAAATTTACGTTATTTACTATACAATGACTAAGTCACGTCAATTGGACCATGCTATTTCAAGCTGGTTTGTCAAAGAACTTTTGGGCAAAAACTGTTAACACAGCTTGCTACGTGGTTAACAAATCTTCATCTAATAGTCATTTAGTTGAAAACTCTTGAGGAGGTATGGTCTGGTTCTCTTACCAATTATTCTCACCTCAGAAATTTCTATTGCCTTAGATATGCTCATGTCATAGGTGACAAGTTGGAGCCAAGGGTGCAGAAGTACATATTCATGGGCTATGCACAGACATAGGGTGTGAAGGGGTATCGATTGGGATACACTGATCCTCTATCACCAAAGTTTATGATCAAGATAAATGTGCCTTTTGATAAGTATGATGAAGAGAAGTCGACAACAAAGGAAGGAGATCAAGTTAGTAGTAAGCAAGTAGAGTTAGAGGTGAATCTCATACGATATAGTGCAAGAGGAGACAACTAAAGCTCAAAAAGAGTCAACGAATATAGTAATAGAGGAAGTCCCTCAACAGTAGCCTAGTATTGCAAGAAATAGGTGGCGAAGGACAATCAGATCACTTAATAGGTACTTTGATATGGTAGCCTTTGCTTTATTTGTTATAGACGAAGTTGGAGGGATAGAACTATGTTCTTACATAGAGGCTATGACTATCGATGACTCTTCAAAGTAGCAATTAACCATGCAAGAAGAGATGGAGTCTCTAGAGAAGAACAAGACATGGAAGTTTGTAAAGATACCACATGGTCAAAAGATTGTAGGGTGCAAGTGAGTCTTCAAGAAGAAGGAAAAAATTGTGGCTGGAGAAGGTGTTAGACTTAAAGTACGTTGGTGACGTAGGGCTTCACACAACGAGAATGTATTGAATTCAATGAGATTTTCTATCATGTGGTAAGACATACATCAATTCGTGTCTTATTAGCTATTGTTGTTTCACTGTCTCAAAAATAATTTAGACGATGTTGGAACAGTTTGACATGATAGGATCTAAAGTTATAATTACTCTATTAGCAGCTCATTTCAAGTTGTCTATTGAAGATTCACGTAAGATAGAGAAGAAAATGGAGCTAATGAATAGGATTCCATATACAAGTGCAATGGGAAATATTATGTATGTTATGATATGCACTTGTCTAGATATTTCTCATGCTGTTAGTGTGGTCAACAGGTACATAAGAAATCTAGAGAAGATCCATTGGGAGGCTGTAAAGTGGATTCTTCATTATCTCAAAGGCATTTTAGATGTGAGCTTGGTATTTCAAAAGGAAAGTAGTAACGATGGCCAATTGACTGGCTATGTGGATTCAGATTATGCTAGTGATTTGGATAAGAGGAGATCCTTGACAAGATATGTGTTTACTCTTTCAAGTTGTGCCATTAGTTGGAAGGCTATTCTATAGTCTACAGTGGCTTTGTCGATAACAAAAGCTGAATATGTGGCAATGATAGAAGTAGTGAAAGAAACTTTATGACTTCAAGATTTAGTTGACTATTTTGGTCTTATATAAGAGATGACTTTGGTGTACTATGATAGTTAGAGCACCATACATTTAACTAAGAATCAAATATTCCATAAGAGGATCAAACATATTGATGTCAAGTATCGCTTTATTCATGATGTTATCATGTAGGAAAAAGTTGATGTGAAGAAGGTTCATACAATAGAGAACCCCATGGATATGTGATAAGTCTTCATTATCATGAATTAATAATTAGTAAATAATATAGTTTTAGCCTTCACTCATGATAAATAGACTTATATTTATGTTAAAGTGGGAAAAGTGGTTTTCAATTGATTAACGTGAAATTTTGGCTAATTATGTGATTTTCTACGAATTTTTATGATTTTTATAGTCTTATTTTTGAGACAAATGAAGAAAAAGAAATAAAAATAAAAATATAGCAAAATAGGAGGGACCTGCCGGTCAGCTGGGCTTACAAGTAGGTCGGAAGTGCAGTCGGGGAGGAGCCATGAGTAGGGGCTTGAGCGGCTAGGACCTATGAGGCCACATGTGCGCCACTCCCCTTCCATGTCACCGATGGCCAGCTAGGTGTGGGGTAAGGAGTGGTCGTATACACGATAGAAAGAGACTCATTACTTCCAAATGTAATATTACTATATATTCGTCTGAAACATCGCCGCACAAGTGATGTGAGACTAAACCCACATCACACATTATCCCGAAGGGTTCAAAGATTTTAATACCTAAAATACCCCTTCTTTATAATAGAGATATGCCATAATGACGTCACTTTATAAGGGCATTAGAGTAGTTATTTTAATCTCTTTCATGCAAGGGGGCAACCTGTGTGCATTCGAATCCTCCTAGAGCCAAAACTCATATTTTTATTTGATTATCGTAACTTTCCTACAGATTGCTGGTGAAGGATTAAGTTGTAAGAATCGCTAGATCATTGGTGAAAATCTTGTCAATGTAATTCGCAGAGTATTGTTACTAAAATTGTTGAACGATTCACGATAAAATGGTTGTAAATTCATCGAGTAAATCATTTTTGATTGATCGACGAACAAACCGTCGTCAAGAAGAGGACGATCTACCGAGAGACGAGTCGCCACCTCCTGAGAGTGTATCGGATGTGATGAAGAGTCTCCTCTTGGTGCACAGGCTTAAGGATGAGGCTCCCTAACGCGCTACACTTCTATTCAACTTTTCTTCGTCGGGTGATAGCCGCCGGAGAGCTGCAAAGTCGTCATTTTTTCGCTCTGCCGGGTGACAATTGTCGAAGACAATTTGACGATCCATTTTATTGATCTCTAGACTTCGTAAGGAGATCTAAAGATTGCCCACATCGTCCTTGTCCAACGAGAGCCTTCGAGGCCATAGACATTGCACGACGATTCTTCTGAACGCTCAGGATTCTGGTGCAACGCTGTCGCATCGACGCTAGAACTCTATTTTCCTACTTTCAACTTAATTTTTACTGCATTTAGTGATAATTTATGTGATTTAAATTTACCAAGCTATACTTCATTCAATTACGATTCTTCCGACTTTTATAGATCTTAATTTGATCAACTAAATTGTTTATAATCGCTTACGTAAGAATCATCAAGTGGAACTCTATTTTCTCCCAATTCGTGTTCGTCAGGTGCTGACATCATCTTGACTTCTGCACCTTTATTTTCCTTTTTCGTGAATTTTAAATATATTTTATTTTTATTTTTAAGTATAAAATTTATAAAAAAATCGTATTTTTGAGTAAAATTTTGAAAAATTATCTAATGTTATATTACATCCCTGTGATCGACCTAAAAAATTACTACTATTTTTGGAAGTTTAATTGAATTATAATTAATATATTTGTTCAGAAATACTTCTAAATATCCAAAAATTAATATGTTTTAGTTTTATAAATTTTAAATTTACGTGATTTACTATACAACGACTAAGTCACGTTAATATGCTTATGAAGATATTTTTCTCAAATAAGTTTGAACATTGCCTAAACTTGATTAGCTTACGGAGCACATGAGGAGAGCCCTAATGGGGCAATGGTGACTACGATAGTGATGAAGTATTAAGCTCAAAAAGCCAAGTCAAGAGGAGAATTGTCATTTAATGTGGCTTGACTTCTTTCAAGGCTGCCATATTAAATGCTTGCATTTAATGTGGAGAAGAGAAATAGAGTGTCAGGGAGAAACAGTCTGTCGGAAGACCAATTCTCATGAACTCAATGGTCCATTTATGGGCTGAGCAGCCCAGGAAATGGAACAGTACAAACAGAAGAAAGAGAAACCATTCGACATGTTTTTCGAGGTTCTTACTAACATGGTTACTGAGGTGGCTGCGAGGTGCCTATAAATAGAGGGTCACCTCTCCTCATTCGGGGAAGCATAGATCAACCCCCTTCTACCCTTGTTCCACCATAGAGAGAGAGTGTTTGGGAGAGAGCTTCCAAGGAAGATCTCTTGGATTGGTGAGTGCATCAAAGGCCCAAGATCAAGGTTTCGTTCCTTGAGATCTTGGAAGAGTCAAGATTAGGAATTTATTTTCTAGGTTCTTGAGGAGTGATTCTTTTGTATTACTTTTCACATATAGTGGAGCTTTCATCATTGCTCATGGAGATAGGAGGCCAACGTGTCGGTACTCTTGTTGTGAGTTGTTCTTTCTTCTACTTTACTTCGTGTCGTGGGCATCGCTTCCATTGAAGTCCATATAGGACATCTTACTCTAATAAGTGAGCAGGTGATGAGGCTTCTGTGCGGAGGATTTGCCATGGGTGTTCAGTTCAACCATATCATTTTAGACACTGTGGGACTCCTCCATCTGCAGAAAGTCACTGCTGAGCTCGCAAGGGGTGCCCCTCAACCCACCTTGCTGTCAGTGTGGAAGCACCACCTGCTCCAAGCTCGGGACCTTCCACAGGTATCCTACGCCCACCATGAGTACGACGAGGAGAAACCAGCCATGTTCCAGGATTCCGTTCTCCGATCCTTTTTCTTCCACTGGAAGGATGTCCTTTCCTTCAAAAAAATCAGCTTCTGGAGGACATGTAGAGGACCACTTCCTTGGACCTGCTCACTGTTGGCCTACACCGTCCAGTTGATAGGTAAGGCGAAATCGGAGATGACCACGGAGTACCTGCGGTCAACGGCAGATCTAATTACGGTGAAGGGGTGGACGGTGACCTGTAATTTGTCTATAGAGGTGATTATCATATCGAACCTGAGGCAGCTGGGCCTCTAGGGAGCTAGACTTTGGGTGGGACGATGCCATTCTCAGTACCCCGATCAATGCCGTTGTGCTTGCTGTCGTCTACTTTCCCCATGCCCGAGGAAAGGAGGGGTTAGTCGTAAAGATTTGCCAAAGAGATGGAAACCATGATGAAGGTTCCCTGAGAGGAGAGTGTCTAAGGCTTAGCCAAGGAAGGGATAATAGATACCTTAGTTGTAGATGATGTCGACAGTTAATTGAGGAAGATAGTTCAACATAAAATTCAGCCCCAATGTAATAACATAGCACCTTTTAATATGGCTTTCATTGAATAATACTGTGTATTAAGAAGGTGTTACGAATTTTGTAAATGAAATAATGTTATCTATGATTGAATTTTAACATCGTAGTGTGCTTCAATGTTATACCTGTATTCCTTTACTAAGTTGGCCTGATATCTTCTTCTTTGCAGGAGCTCTGCAAAACAAAGCACATCAAATCTCCTTAGTAATATTGTGAGTCTGACTTCCATCTTTTGCAATGCGGGGTCAATGCCAATAGGCTGAAAAGACTGTGACACATCGCGGTCACAATAATTTGAACACCAAATAATCTGAGTGAGAGTTATATATTCAATGAAAACTAAGTTAAAACATTATTGCATTTTAGTTTTAAATGTCCAAACTGATGGAGATTTAGGATCTAGTGTTGAGCCATAAAGAATGAGCATAATAAATTATAAATAATTAAAATAATTAAACCTCAGTCCATTATAACTCAAGAGTAATGTGTGGCCTTTTGGATCAACACAACAGAGTCGTCCATTCTTCTTGTAGCTCAAATAAGTGATGGGATGGTTTAGAGGTGGTTCTCATTGCATGACCCAAGGACAATGACCCCCCTTAAATAGAGAAGAGGTGATCTGCCTCTTTGTGTCTTTTCTCAATTTTATCTACTATAAAATAAGAATAGAACTTGATCTTTTATATTTATATGAATGTTTACATGAGATACTTCAATCTTAAATACTTATTCCTTTGTAAATTATTTTAATTTAAATTAAATTTAATGATAATCATATAATATACAATTCATATATATATATGACAACATATTTGTTTAAATCGAACACAAACTCTAGAGAATAAACATGTATAATATTGTTGTCAAATATATTACACTAGAAATATTGTAATGCTAACATAGTCGGGGGAATCTGACCACAGTATGTCTTGCCAAAATGTAAAAGAGATGGTGGAAGAGTTGATGTACATGATGCCCCACATAAATCTTAGCATTAAAACCATGCAAATTAAATCCTTAGAAGACCTTGTTTTCACCTAAATAGTCATTGTTGAAGAACATTGGTAGTAACATGCAACAATGGGGGGTAGAGAGAGAGAGAGAGAGAGGGAGAGAGGGAGAGAGGAAGGAGAGGAATAACACTTGGTACTAAACTTTTACCTTTATCTCAATTACTTGTTGATTTTGGCACTATTTGATGTCCACCATCAATATTCTGATCTCAACTTTGTGTTACATTAAGGTCTCATCTATTACTTTATTCTCATTTCTCTCTTCCCTCTCTCTCTCTCTCTCTCTCTCTCTCTCTCTCTCTCTCTCTCTCACACACACACACACACACACACTCGGTCTATATGTGTGTAGGTTGAAGAGAGAAGAGAAAGAAAAAATATAATATAATAGTATGGTGCATGTTGAACATTGTAATATATAAGAATTTATATATAAACCTTAAAGACAAAAATGCCCTCTAACTCCTATATATAAGAAGCTCATGAAAGGGATTTGGCAGTACTCTAGTCATTGTTTTAAGAAGTGATCAATTTTAAAAGTTATTAAACCTAAAGCTCTGAAAATTATGCTATTGATTGTTTATAATACATAGTGGATTTAGGTCGATCCATAGAGAAACTTGGTATTATGTGATGCATGAATATTTTCTAATAAATATTTGAGTGAGGAGAAAGGTACGAAAAGGAATGAAGGAAGGTAGTAAAATTAAAAACTCTTCTAGATTTTTTGCAAGAAATTAGTAAAAGAAATACTATAAATTTTGAAAGAATGATAGAGGTGAAAACACTTCCACTAATAACCTAGCTACTAGTAGAGTACTAAACTTATGTTTGAAAGAGAACCCTAGATTGTAATAACAATCACAAAAAATACACAACTAATAAGTTGAAATTTAGAAAGTGTTGAAAATCTCAAAGAATCTTTCATATTCTGCAGCATTCATCAAAATGAAACATGGTATTAAACATATGTAGAAACTAAAATACCAAATTTAAAGTCTAGGAGTGTAAATGCTATTGTTGCTGTGCTCTACTCCTCTGCCTATCACATAGTAGGGAAGTTCACAACCACCACTGCTGCTGTTGTCGAGAGTATATTGCCATCACTGTTGCTGTCACTGCTGTGCTCAACTCCTCCTTTGTCTGTGACATAGAATAGGAGTCGCAGCCATTGTTGCTATTGTCACCATTACTACTGTTGCCGTCATGCACGACTACTGGACCTTACTCTATGCGCATCATGACTCGACAAAGGCGAATGTATGCCCATGTAAATCCTCACACGTGTCCAAGTTATTAATGTGAGCCACTTGAAGAGTGGTTGGTGGAGGAGGAACGTGAAGAAGTAATGAATCTATATATATGTGTGTGTATATATAGGTACGGTGGTTGCAGTCTCTATCTTGACAGCGTGGGTCGACATATCGGATTGAACCAAAGTTGGTCCACTGTACTTGGCGCTGGCTTGAGACATCACCCTCGGCCCGTTGGATGGCCAAAGATACTGGGTTTCTCATCTATGAAAGGTCAACCTCCAGCTGTCTACGTCGTCCATTCCTAAGAGCCGGAAGACAACCGGCGGGAGATCATTGCCCTCCTTCCTACCCTGTCGCTCCGTAGTTTTGCCTCCCAGTAGCTGCCGAGTCGTTGAGTTTTTCACTGTCCGCGGAGGGAGGCGGTGCTGGTCGCCCCGGCTGAGCCCACTCCCCAGGAGTTCAAGGAGCTTGCGGACGTCGACTTTCAGGGGGCCACGGCGAGGGTCATCAACTGTGATGCATTCCATCCACAATTTAACGGACACCAAAACAACTCGTTCGAGAGTGAGATATTTACCCCGAATTAAGCCAAATATTCCTGCGTTTATGCCGAAAGAACATATTACTCTGGCAATGTTGTACTATTAGCATAG